TGAAATTTATTATGACTTACTGATTATGAAGATATTATTATTTAGATAATTATGGTGACAGATAGGTAATGCATTTTTATTACAGTGGCTTTATATACTACTGATAAATATACTAGGGATGTAATTCTTTAATAATAATTTATTAAATCAAAATTATTATTTTATGTTATGGCTGATAAAAGATAAATAGCCAATATTAAAATTCTGTACTATTGTCCAAGTAAATAAAACATAAAAATAAACTGAAATCAATCATTTTAAAAGCAACAAGTGAATTTAAGTATAACAGCATTATAATGTACAGTATGAAAAATGGATATTCATTTGAGATTTGCGTTTTATCGCGTTTAACCACAGCTGTCGTCGGTTTTTTGTCTGGCAGTGGCAGCAGATATGCAATCAAATTTCTAATTTGAGGCTGTATTACGTCGATTCTGGCACCCAACATCACAACAAGATGATATTTTAAGCTCCTTATGTAGCCGAATCTGCGCTGGTTTGAATGAGCCGCCTCCAGTTTCCCCTTTGTTTTGCTGCCTCCAGCTAGCGCTGTGACGTCGCTGACCCTAGTTACCTGTGGTTGGCCTGGCCATGCGTCACTCAGAAAACAACAATTAACATGAATATTAATTAGACGGGCCAAAATCGACCTGTTTTCAGCAGAGCTCCTGAGAAAGGAGCTGTAAAAATATATTGGTTTTTGGTAGTTATACCGCAAATATATATTCTTAAGGACATCAAAACCTAAAATAAAACTCCAGAAAAGTGTAAAATATGGGACCTGGAATCCTGGAAATTGATTTGGGATGGGGGCTGTCAAACTCCAAAAATGCACTTTAAAATATCCATAAAAGTTGTCCAAATGACTCATGCCTTGACAGTTTAAACTTGGTAAACCTAGTAGTTTTCTCATGATGTGCATGCTCACATGAATGATCTTGGTAACACATAATCAATTCATCCGCTTATAAAAGTATTTCCAAATCATCTAAAAAGACGATTTGACAACATTACAGCTCAAACAACAAACCTTGCACTGAACAACTTTTTATTAGCTGTTATATTACATTCTAATGGACATTGTCGCAGGTGCTGTTCATAGAGCGTAAGTCGTTTTACACCCGGAACATTCCTTGGATGCTCTCGGTCTCACCACTCTGAGCAATAAACACACTGCCGTGCACATTCAGAGTGAGCTGTAATCATCATGTAATTTTATGACAGTTTCTACATGTCGCTTGTTGACTTTTACTGGAAAAAATTGGCAGACGCAAGAAGGATCTCTAAACATCGGCTTTTAAGGGAATAGATGTTCTCGGTGTCAGTGAATATGTCACTTTTGAAGCCGGTGTGTGAGAACATGCTGTGAGCGAATCAGGAAAATATATTTATTTGATGATTTGTGAGTGAAAGGCAAAGAAAAATAGACGGAGGAGAAGATTGACAGAGTAAAGGGGTGAACGGTGTCTCTCTGTGTCCCAGCGCTTCTGATGGTTATTGCTAATAAATCTTGAGCGTGAAGGAGAGAGGTGTCAAGTTGCGCAAACAGAACGGCCAAGTGTGTGTGTGTGTAAACCCACTGACCTCGCCCTCTGGTGAAGAGCGAGCAATTAGGACCTGCCTGTGATATGAACACACACAGCTGATAACACACACCGATCATAACCAATGTTCAGTCAAAAGAATCAGCACATTTTACATGTCAAACAAATTTAGTTTGATTTTAAAATGTAATGAAATTTATTATGACTTACTGATTATGAAGATATTATTATTTAGATAATTATGGTGACAGATAGGTAATGCATTTTTATTACAGTGGCTTTATATACTACTGATAAATATACTAGGGATGTAATTCTTTAATAATAATTTATTAAATCAAAATTATTATTTTATGTTATGGCTGATAAAAGATAAATAGCCAATATTAAAATTCTGTACTATTGTCCAAGTAAATAAAACATAAAAATAAACTGAAATCAATCATTTTAAAAGCAACAAGTGAATTTAAGTATAACAGCATTATAATGTACAGTATGAAAAATGGATATTCATTTGAGATTTGCCAGAGATTACAGAACAGTGTTATTAAATTATTATTGTTTTTAAAAGTCAGCAGTAAGTGTCAGATGACAGCAAGGGTAACTTGAATCTAAAAATGAGCAGAACAATTAAATATCCAAATTGACTGATCAGTGTCATTTTAGTATTATATTATAATTATAGTATTTATTAATATTTTGAATTCGCTTTATGTATTTTAATTTTTAATGTTTTTCCATTTTTAAGTTTTTTTTTATAATTTCATATAATTTTCATGGAAAGTTGTTCAAATATTTTATTATTCATTTCTATTATTTACATCTATATTATAATTTATTTAAATTTTTAATAGTTTTATATTTATATTTTATATATATATCATCAAACATGTGTCTAGTTCACAGTTGAGACTTAGAGGCGGATATGTAATGTCTTGCTGTTCTTGGCACCCTATCCATATCAAATTATCAAAGGTAAAGCTGCTTTAAAAATCTTTCTCATTCCTCTGTTTTACCTTTTTGTTTTATTCTGTTTTACCCTGTTTTAAATGTAGGTGTTATTTGAAGGTTGAATTACTATGTATGTCAGGTGGCATTGATTAAAAGCATTTTTTTTTCTGTAATACATTATTAATTTAACATGTTCAACTGACAGCTCTAACTTAGCTGTAACAATATTGTTGATGTCAATTGTCAAAACACTAAAAGCGTTTATTTGCACGTGCACACTGACTCGCACATGCACACACACAAACCAGGCCTGGTTTTGCTTGAACAGAAACTCTAATGTAAACAGAGCTCATAGCCATCTGCCTAATGTCAATGTGGCCAGCAGGCTCAGCCTCACACACACACACACACACACACACACACACACACACTGCGCTACAGCTTTGCCTCTCGCCTGTCCCTTTGCTTTCTCATTTTGTGTTCTGTGTGCTGGAGCAAACCATTGTTTGTCAAATCTATTGTATTATCTCATGTAGAGCACCATACAGTACAACATTGTCTCTGCTATCAGATAAGTCCTCTGTAGTTTTCAAAACAGCACAGACATAAACTATCCAGTCAGCTATGAGAAGCTATTAGATTAAAATGGCTGCGGTCCCACTTTATATTAAGTGGCCTTAACTACTATGTACTTACATCAAAAAATAAGTACCGTGTACTTGTGTTCATATTGTATTGCAAAACACTTTTGCTGCTATTGAGGTGGGATACAGGTAAGGTTAGGGACAGGTTTGGTGGTATGGGTAGGTTTAAGGGTGGGTTAAGGTGTAAGGGTCAACAGTGTAATTATAAATGTACTTTCAGAAATTAATTATAGATGTAATTACATGCAGGTATTTTAAAAATAGAAGTAGAATGTTAAAACATGTATGTACACAATAAGTGCATTGTACCAAATTATTAATTTAAAAGTAAGTGCATAGTTGTTAAGGCCACTTAATATAAAGTGGGTCCATGGCTGCTAATAAACCTGCCTGTTTGACATGGTAAAGTGGCAGTGAGAAACGATTTTATAGTTTATAGCTTACTCTTAATATCAAATGGTTGGTCTGGCCATTGATTGGTCATCGAAGAAGGGTTATCAACTGATTACTTTTTCACCATTATTAGTTCTTAATTTAGCTGCGATTGACCTTTGACTGTGCTCACACTCTTAAAGTACAGAGTTAAGGACTGAACAACTCCAAACTGAGTCCCTCTGCAGTTACTTTACGTCTATTGCTTTATGGCTGGCAAGGACTTTATTTTGGAGTAAGACTAGGTGATGTATTGAATATTTACAATGTATTTAAATTTTTTTGGTTTCACTCACCTTTCTTAAGAAATGTTTCTTGAGCAGCAAATCAGCATATTAGAGTGATTTCTGAAGGATCATGTGACACTGAAGACTGGAGTAATGATGCTGAAGTATACTTAAATAGGAAACATTTATTTTCAATTGTAATACTATTTAATAATATTACTGTTTTTACTGTATTCTTGATCAAATAAATGCAGCCTTGGCGAGCATAAGAGACTTTTTTTATGCACAGACCCCAAACATTTAATCATACTGTAATAAAATCTCAGTATTTTCGAACATGCCTTGATTATTATCTTAATATAGATCTTATCTTAAGTAGATTTTGCCATTATGTTTATAGTTTACTCTATTTATAGATTTTTTTTTTATACCTTTTTTATTTTACTTAAAATCTTTGGTAGTCAAAATAATTGTTCCTCCAACTAAAAGAATTTTTTTTTTTTTTTTTTTGAAGTTTCCGAGAAATATTTATATATTAAGATATTTTTCAAATTAAACAAATTGTTACATGGCTGATATAATATATATATTTTTAAATGTATTACCCTTCCCTTTGTGGAATAATAAATCTGAAGTGTATGGAATATGCTTTGGCAATCAATTTTAACGTTTCACTATTTTGGTTATATTTTCTCACTGAAATATTCTCAAGACTTTCCCATAGCCATGACTGGCTTCCCAACAGCTATATGATGTGTCCTCTGGTGTGACATGGGAGTAATTATTTAGCATATATTTTAAGATAGGGTTTTTAGGAAATAGATCAAACAAGTGTTTCATAGTGATTCTGCAGTGCTTTCAGTAGAGTGTAATGGTGTGAACCGTGTGACCTGGAGTAACCCCCATCTCTCTCCCATCAACCCCTCCTCTCATTCACCCAAAGGAAGTTACAGTGTTGGCTCTGCTTCAGGCTCCATTTTTAGCTCCGTTCTGGCTCCCCTAATGTAAACTCTACAGGAAGTAGCCTCTCTGGGTCAGAGGTTGGCTTCTTTTCCCATACTGCAGTCGAGTAAAGCCCTAGAGTATGACAGATGTCCCAGGATTCCAGAGCGCTGAGCTAAAGCTGGTTTTGGTTGAAAGGTTCAACTGATCACTAGAGAGACATTGAATGAGTCTGCTTTTATTTTTTCTTCTCCCCTCAGCTGAGCGCAAACGTGCTGATCTTCCTGTGCACCAACATCATTGGGATCTGCACTCACTACCCAGCAGAGGTCTCTCAGAGGCAAGCCTTTCAGGAGACGCGAGGCTACATCCAGGCCCGACTGCACCTGCAAAGAGAAAACCAGCAGCAGGTCAGTTCAGTGTCGAGGCCGTGACCATTCGCATTCACTGGCACAATTTACTAGCTACACTACTGTTCAAAAGGCATTTTTAAAAAAGAAATTGATACTTTTATTTAGCAAAGAAGCATTACATTTGATTAAAGACATTTATAATGTTACAAAAAAATCTTATATTCATCAAAGAATCCTGGGAAAAAAAAGTGTCACCCATTCCACAAAAATATTAAGCTGCATAACTGTTTTCCTGCGCAGCAAATCAGCATATCAGAATGATTTCTGAAGGATCATGTGACACTGAAGACTGGAGTAATGATGCTGAAAATTCAGCTTTGCATCACAGAAAAAAAATTACGTTTTGAAAAATTTACAAATAGAAAACAGTAATTTTACTGCATTTTTGATTAAATAAATGCAGTGTTGGTGAGCATAAGACACGTCTTTCAAAAACAAAAACAAACAAACAAAAAAATCTTGCGGACCCCCAATTTTGAACGGTAGTATTGTTTCCCTTTGAGACTTTGAGAGTCTTCCTTATTTGTGTCACTAGTGGTATATGTATAATCATTTACATCTATTCATTTTAAGGACTGGTGTCTGGCATTAAAATTGAATTCTCTATTAAATTATTTTTAAAAATGCTTTATTCAGTAACTGGCTCTAAATGACATCACCATCTGTGTGTTATGGATGGGGATGTTACGATTCACTCAACTCACGATTCGATTCATAATACTGATTTCACGATTCGATTTTTTTCACGATTTGTTTTTTAAACAAAATTAGATTTAAGACAAATTATGAATGAAAATGTGTCCTTTTATTATTGCTTGGACAAAATGCTGCACATTTCTTTGTGAAACAGAAATATGTCAAATAACAAAACTAAATTGAAATTTTAAAACAAACCCCAAATCTAATCAAATAAATAAGACAAAAAAAACTTCATATAAACAAAGGCTACCTGTGCTCTTTCCATTCAAAAGTAGAGGCAACCACTGCATTTGAATCACAATCCAAACAAAGATGCTGAATACACGCAGCATGAGCAGTTTTTAAAATCTAAATTAGATTGTATAATTTGAAATTTTAAAACAAAAACGGAATGCTCTGACTTTAGTTTTGTGAAACTAATACTACATAAAACATCTGCACGAAACAAAGACAGCAGATGCTCTGAATGAGACGCAGACTCACTCTCTTCCAGCAGGTGGCGCTTATGGAACAGCAGATACAGTGTTTCCTTGGCTGTAAACAGCACTTATGAACGCTGCAGTAATATGCAACTTACAGAGACGAGATGAAAAGAAAATACCATCTAAACTTTTCTAAAGACAGTCAGTTCCCCTCAGAGATACATTCATATAAACTCCCACCCCCAAATGTATCGCGTTTCGTTTAACATCTCAACCGTCTTGAATAGTCACATATTTATATCGATTTTCAACTGGCTTGCGGTGAATCGTTACATCCCTAGCTATGGACAATAATTTATACCTGAATAATGACACTGGCAAACTAATAAATAAGGATGCAAATAAAAATGTTTAAAATTGCACAAAAAATTTAGAATGTTCGAGTTCCAAAAATTCCAACAAATTCCATGTATATTCAGTTTAGGGGTGTCGCAATTTACAGGTATTGACGATAATTGTGATATTTAAAAAATATATATTGATATCATGTTAATCAGTGTTGGGGAAAGTTACTTTTATAAGTAATGCATTACAATATTGCATTACTCCATAGAAAAAGTAACTAACTGTGTTACTTTTTGTCACCTGAGCTGGGCTTGCTTATTTATTTTTAATAACAAAAAAACCCAAAAGTTATATTTTTGGCAGCTGTAATGGTCCTTTAACACCAAAAGTGAAATGAATAAGCCTCAGGCTGAAGGAAGTGCCTCTGCCTCTTCACCTCACTCCCAATTTCTCTCAACACGAGGACAGAAAAGGTGTTACTTGCGTTGCTTATTTGAAAAAGTAACTCCGATATTTCTGAGAAAATGTAAAAGTAATGCGTTACTTTACTAGTTACGTAAAGTAATCTGATTACGTAACTAGTATTACTTGTAATGGTTACCCCGACACTGATGTTAATACTGAACATATGATATTATGTAAATAATCCAGCACCAGTAACTATCTGGTTGACACTCCAACATAGTAGGTGACCGTATTGGTGAACAGAACAGAAAAAAACAACGCAGTATGTAGCTACTAATGCTGCACAAAATCATCTCAAAGGAGATGACAGACGGAAAAAGTTAACATGCCAGTTTGGGAGCTTTTTGGATTCCGTAAAAAAAAAAGATACTCCAGTGTGCTGGAAGTGCCAATAAACTGTAAGTGTTTATTTATTTTATCTTGTACACTTTGGTACAGCTAAAATCTCTTCATGCCAACGACAAACTATAACAGTAACTATTAAACACTAAAACGATAACGGTAATGATAAAAAATGTAATTGTTGTAATTCTGTGAGAATAGTGAATTCCACATCACAGCTATAAAAAAAAGGACTGAAATTACTGTCAGAATGATTTTTTCCAGCTCAGGCATCTATAACATCAGATGACAAAACTGCAGAGCGTTTTTATAATAAACGGAACAATAATGTGCGTTGGTGTGGATGCCCGTGAAGTTATGGTTATAGTTATTGTTCTCATGTGAATGGGCTTTTATGCTTACTGTCATGACTGTGTAGATTTTGTTTGTTTCATGTTCTAAATTCATGTCTTTTATTTTGAAGGTTAGTTTTGTTCATAGCCTTAGGCTGTGTCCGAAATCGCCCCCTATAACCTTAAATAGGGCACTATTTGAGGGAACAGCCATTTTTAGTGGTGTCCGAAACCATAGTGGACGTTCTCGAGTGCACTCATTCAATCCCACAATGCACTGCAAAAACGAGTGTACAACTGGTGCACGCTCAACAGCTAGAGAATGCCCATAATGCACCGTGAGAGTCACGCGCCGAATGAATTCCCGCATCTCGCCAGAAGATGACGCCCGCAGCTGAATAATCAATCCGTTCATTTTTACAAAGCGCTCATCCATAGCGTACAGCATAATGTACAACACGGGTATAAATTCATTGTAAATTGATTATTAAATTGTTTGATTAGGGTTTATACATAATTTCCGTGACAGAGTTCAAGATAAATCCTTTAATCTTACTACTGGAGCTGCTAGTTTGCTAGTTTCAAATGATTAATAAACAGCAAGCACAAACTATGCAAAAGCGGCATTCCTTCCGGTGCACTCAGTGTCCGAATTCACTACTCGTTTTCATTCACTCCTTCTAGTGAACTGAATTAGTGACCTAATGTAGGGAATAGTGAATGAAGGTATAGGGGGCGATTTCGGACACAGCCTTAGTCTTTATCACTTCCTCATGTTTCCTGTCCCTCATGTTCCTGTTTCATGTCTTAATTGTTTTCAGGTGTTCCTTGTTAACTCATTAGCTTGTGTATTTATAGCCTTCATGTTTCCCTTTTCTCTTGTTGAGCTTTGATCAGTGGAACCTGCTGTTTGTGAATTCTGTTCTGGTTTCTGGTCAAGTTTGTTGAAGTGAAGTTCAAGTCATTATTTGGTTCGGTTTATTTTCTGTTTGTGTGACGCTTTTTGAACTAAACTGCTCTCCTTCAGTGGACTCAGCGTTACACTTACAAACTCACTCTCCGTGTCTCTACCTTCATGTTTTGAGTGTGATTCATAGGCCAAAAAATGAAAACACAAAATAAACAATGTTTAATAAGACTTGGTAACACTTTACAATAAGGTAATATTTATTAACATTAGTTAACAAACTAACAATGAAAAATACTTCTAAAGCATTTATTGATCTTCGTTAATGTTACTTTTATCATTTACTAATACATTATTCAAATTAAAAGTTGTATCCGTTAATATTATTTAATGAACCTGAGGTAACATTAACTAACAATGAACAGTTTTTTTTAAAGAGCCACCAAACGGAATTTACTGTTTGAATTTCTTAGGAAAAATGACAAGACTTTGTTTCATATCAGCAATAACCTGCTCTGTCTTGTCTGTCGACATGTTGTCAGTGTCCTCTTTGCTCCGTGATGTATTTTTCACTGCGTGAGAACGTGATGTGTGGCGTGAGAGTGCCACGGCTTGTTGGACATAGCAACAGTAACTAAGGGGGGCGGGTCTTTGTGAAGGGTCAATTGCCATTCGATTCTATGTAAAGAATTCTAGAGATCTCATGGGCTAGACTAACAAAATATTAAAATGAAACAACGTCACTCACATCATCACCGCATCTCGTGCTCCACTGATGCACTCCTAACATTCAAATGCAAATGTTTATTTTAAATTAGACTAATATTCATTCTTTATTCACAATCTCCTCATCACAGGCAGGCACAGCACTCAATTCAGCATGTGTTCGTGTTTGTGTGTGCTGTCTGCGTCACTCATAGCACATGCCTATATCGTGCGCTTTATCGAAAATTGTTTATATCAATATCGAAGGTGTACCATCGATAAATATTGATACCGTTTTATCGCCCAGGCCTAGCACTGGGATGCTGCTGTTCGACAGGCAAAGTACAACTACATAAAGAAAGGATATTTGATCTTCAGTGAGAAGAATTGCATGGCAATCTTTCTTTCTCTCTCACACACATTCCCTCTCTTCTCTCCTCTCAACAATTTTCAGGAACGCCTGTTGCTGTCTGTTTTGCCAAGGCATGTCGCCATGGAAATGAAGGCTGACATCAACGCTAAAAAAGAAGACATGATGTTTCACAAGATCTACATCCAGAAGCACGACAATGTCAGGTGAGCATTACTGTTATGGGTCAAACTGTGCCACATTTAACCAGGACTGGATTTGATTAGATTGTGAAAAGCAATTTAATCAAGTGATCTAAGACTATTTAGGATATTATTGGTTTATATTATGTTTCCCACCCTCATGGCCTCATGATGTAATTAACATCAGCACAACAGACAAGTTGTTTCAGAAGTGGAGAAACTCATTATATTTTCGGGTGAGACTATGAAAACAAGCATATGTTTTTCTTTAGGTTAACATTTAATTCATCAGTAAACTCCCTATAGAATAACAATTTGTCTCAATATTTTTTTCTCATTATTTTGTTGAAGTGCATTTACAACTTGACGACCCTTTGACTATTAGCATTAGCTTTTAGCTAAAGTTGCTCACCTGCTTTTTATCATCTCTTGTGGCCGTGTGGCCCTTTCTTTGTTTATTTTTACTCTTTCCATTCTTCTTTCCTGTCTTTTACCAATTTCTTCTTTGCTTTAGCTCTGGAAGCTCCTAATAGATACAGTGGGGCTTTTCTTATGAAATGTGGTCAGCTAATTATGGCGAGAGAGGGAATAGTTAATTATCAGTCACTAGACTAGCGCTAACCCCAGAAGATACTGAAATGAAGCCACGATTCAATTAAAGCGCTCCACAGCGCCTGCTCTGACACAGCCTCTGAGTGAATTTCCCCTCAGCTCAAGGGATTCACACACTCATACTGTATACTTTTCTACCTACATTTGTTATGTTATTGACCTCTATGCTTCCAAACACAGCTTTTTTTTTTTCATTGTGAAAAAATTCATTGTGTTTTATTGGCATGACTGTTTCCTGTGAAATATTACCAAAGCATTTAATCAATGCAGGAACATTTTAGTTAACAATAGACTTTTATGTTGTAAAAGACAAAGCAACAATTCATCCAGTTTAAATCTCTTTTGCTCTGTCTTTGTCAGTATTTTGTTTGCAGACATCGAGGGTTTCACTAGTCTGGCGTCGCAGTGCACTGCTCAGGAGCTGGTTATGACTCTAAACGAGCTGTTTGCCCGCTTTGACAAGCTGGCTTCGGTGAGCACATCTATTAACACATGCCTAAAAGATGTTTCTCAAATGGATCGTTGATGCAGCATTGTCTGTTTACAATAGACCAATTTCAGTGTTTGCAAACAGTGATGACATTTTTTTGTGGGCGGAGCCTATCTGGTGGCAGAAAATGACAGCTTTAACGTAGCAGTCTATTCAAGCCATGGAATAAAAGAATAAAAAGTGTAATTTTGAGTTTATATTTCAAAATTCTGACTTTTTTTCATGCAATTCTGAGATTATATCTCACTATTCTGGTAAGAAAAATCAACTCGTCATTCTTTTTAGTTTATAATCCCACACTTCTGGCTTTTTTTCCTCAGAATTGACAAACTCTCAATTGTTGAGTTGAATCAAGTTATAAAGTCCGAACTAGGAGATATAAACTTGCATTTGCAAGAAAAAAAGTCAGAATTGTGAGATAAAATAGGTAAATGTTATGTAAAATGTTACAGGTTTAAATATTTCATGCATGTATTTCAACTGTAGGGCTAATACAATATGTCCCCTATATGAATATTATATAGACCTATTGTTTAAATCAAATGTATGCTTTAAAAGTAGGGTAATCATAGTAGGTTTCATCCATAGTCTGTCCGTTTAAACATCTGCGTTTAGCTTCAAATGGTGTCTTTGACGACAGTATTATATAAAAATTATTTGCATTCCGATTCTGACATCCAAAGGCACAACAATACATTTTTTCTCTTATTTCATGGATTTTACCCATTTCCCTCCACCAATATGCGCGCGCAGCTGCAAGTGATGTAACTGTACAATTTATATATACTGTATATGCATCCGTTCTGTTGAACTGAATTAGAGAATAAGGTTTTGCTGGTTCGCATACTCCCTGAAGTGCTTTTTTCCTCTATTATATAGACCCAAGTGTGAAACTTGTGGAGATCTAGATCAGATGCACCTGTTGTGCTGTAATGCTGTAATGTTTAACCATAAGTTAAACCTCATTTTGTTCAGTATGGATATGGATCACTGCTCTGAGAAAAGTGTGCTGGTTTCATTAAGCAACCTCTGAAGGTTTCCTTGTAGAGGACAGGGAAAGTGGACTAGCTGGAGTGGATGACCCAATACAGTGTACTGGTGTGTGTGTGTGTGTGTGTGTGTGTATGTGTATCCTCTCCCTTGATCATTACTCTACCTATAGTCCCTGTGCTGTGGAACTGGGGCTGTGTGGAGGCAGAGCAGTAAAGTGACCTACATTACACTGCTTCCCTGGATCTGGAGCTCTTCAGCTCACAGACACACCATATTCATCTGGTGGAAGCCTAATGGTTAAACATAGGGATGATTAATTGATATACAAATAATTGAGACAGTAGTTTTTGGTTCACATCCCTTCAGTGTCATTTTGATACATGTACCCCTTAAA